CACAGGAAAATGAATCCTGTACTTACCCTTACTGGAAGTAGGTCAGATAGGCAAATAAATTACCAAATTTGCTGATACGCTATCATGGTCTTGAAAGTGCTGAGGTAGCCTGGAGGAGTGACTGTTACTACTTGGACAAGTGGGGAATATCCTTTTCTTTGCAAATGGTTTTCTTTAATAATAGTTGTAATTTTTACTGTGTTGTTAGCCTTACATGTTTTCATTTAATGTTGAAAAATGAAATTTATAAGTTACTAGATTAGTTGCTTATAATTAATACTTTATTTTCAGAGTTTTCTTGATGTTCATATGAAGTTGTTCAATATATACTTATTTGCTAGATGCTAGAGATATAATAATGGATAAAGCCTATTCCCTGTTTTTAGGAGCACAGAATCTGGTCAGAGAGACAGGGGAGTAGGCAGGCAATTTCTTTTTTTAGTCATTTTCTAAGAGGTAATACATGTGTATGGTACCATTTTAAAAATGAACAAATAAATATACAAGAGTTTCATTCTTGTGTCTTCTAGCTACCCAGTTGCCTTCCTCCGAGGCAACCGTTATTATCTGTTTACCCTGTCTTATTCCAGAGGTAAAATGTGCTTCCAAAAGTGTGTGTGTTCACTTGTGTTTACATGTGTGTATATTTTAACACAAATAATAGCATACTTTCTATACACACTAGTCTATATCTTGTTTTTTTTCTTACTGAATATATTTACAGTGGTCCCATGTTAATATACAAGTACTATCCCATTCTTTATTAATTGCACACTGTTCCATTATATAGATTACTGTAGTTTAATGAACCAGTCCCTGTGGATGTATATTTAGGTTAAATAGTCAATATTTTTATTCATTGCTTTTTTAATTTTTAAAAACTATTGAACTTTTGAAACATTCACAAAGTACAGAAAACGTTATTATGAACCCCAGTATACCTGAGACCCAGCTTCAACAACTGTTAACAGACTACCATTTTTCATCTAGCTCTCCTTACTCCTTTTTTTTCCCTTGGGCTGGAGTTTAAAGCAAAATCTAGACACCATTTTATCTGTAAATACTTTACTGTGTATCTGTAACAGATATGACAGACATGGACTTGAAAAAATCTTAATCACAGTACTGTTAGAAAACTCAACAAAATTAAAAATTTTTTAATATTATCTAATGCCCAGTGTGTGTTCAGTTTTCACTGATTGTCTCCGATTCTTTTTTTTGTTTTTGTTTTTGAGACAGAGTCTCACTGTGTTGCCCTGGCTAGAGTGCCGTGGCATCATCCTAGCTCACAGCA